TGGGTGGAACACGTAGCCAGATTGAAAGGCGGCGACAGATGGACAAGAAAACTGCTCTAGTGGAGACCACAAAGCGACAAGTGTGTAAATACCAGAAAAACATCAAGAAAAATCGAGATGATGTTGGTAAAGTTCTAATCACGATAGAAAGTCAAGTTAACAGTTCGCGTTGACATTTCTAGTAAACTTTTTCTTTAGGTTGCCAGCACAGAACGTTGCCAGCATGCGTTAGCGCATCGATTCCGTCAGCTGGAATAAACGACAGGGTCGTATTAAGAAAAATGATATACATTTCAGAATAAAAATTTATTTTCAATTTCTTTAGGAAGTTATAGTTATTTATGTATCAAGGGAATTATGAGGGTGTTAATACCCCAGGGCAACGTTTCCCGAGGGCCTCTGGCCCGAGGGACACCAATTGCCCGTGGGTATTAACACCTGATAATTCCCGTGGTACATAGATAATTTTATATCCTACTGAATTTAGTGTATTCTGTCTATTTTTATAAAGGAATAAACCATAAACCAAAATTTCTTTTTTTCTCAAAGTTTTACCTATTCAAGGTAATAGCGGGAGTCATGGAAATCCTTAACTCCCTTGGGAGTTATGATATCCTTAACTCCCGCGCGGGAGTTATGAAATCCTTAACTCCCTTGGGAGTTAAGACCCTGTTTATGACTATCGTAACCAAGGTATTATATGGTTATAATAGTACAGTAGGATATAAAGTTATTAAAATCCAAAAATCCCAAAATTAGAGTCCACAGTAAACACTTATAAAAAGAGTAAACACTTAAATCCAAACTAAAACCAGGTTTGAAACGCAACACCGAAACACAAAGGCACAGAACCCTACATAAAAAACCAAAAAACCGACTGCGATAATAACAAATAAAAAAATAATGGTGAAAACGGCAAAAAACTGAACGATTTCACACAAAAATTGGAAATTCAAAGACTCGAATCTGATATTTTTATTTGTCAAATCAAAATGTCATGTGTCATTATTTGATAGTTGTCAGAAAAGGCTCTGTAATGAAAGAGCGCTGCACAAAAGAGCGCTGTTACAAAAGAGAGCTGTAACAGAAGAGCGCTGTAACAGAAGAGCGCTGTAACAAAAGAGCGCTGTAACAAAAGAGCGCTGCACAAAGGAGCGCTGCACAAAAGAGCGCTGCACAAAAAAGCGCTGTAACAAAAGAGCGCTGCACAAAAAAAACGCTGTAACAAAGGAGCGCTGTAACAAAAGAGTAACTCAAATGAACCCAAACTGACCCGTCCTCAGAATGCGACCCAATCTCTGTTTCTGATTTTTATCAAATTGCTTAAACAGAAAATGAATACAAAAGAGCCCAATCTAACCCAAACTGACCTGTCCTCGGAATGCGACCCAATCTCTGTTTCTGAATCCCATCAAATTGCTCAAACAGAAAATGAATACAAAATAACCCAATCTAACCTAAACTGACCCGTCCTCGGAATGCGACCCAATTTCTGTTTCTGAATCTCATCAAATTGCTCAAACAAAGAATGAATACAAAATAACCCAATCTAACCCAAACTAACCCGTCCTTGGAATGCGACCCAATCTCTGTTTCTGAATTTCGTCAAATTGCTCAATCAGAAAATTAATACAAAATAACCCAATCCAACCCAAACTGACCCGTCCTCGGAATGCGACCCAAACTATCTTTCTGAATTTCGTCAAATTGCTCAAACAGAAAATGAATACGAAATGACCCAATCTAACCCAAACTGACCCGTCCTTTATAAAATTCAGATAGCGCTCTTTGGTTACAGCGCTGTTTTGTTACAACGGCCTTTTGTTACTTGTGCAGCGCTCTTTTGTTACAGCGCTGTTTTGTTACAGTGCTCTTTTGTTACAGCGCTCTTTTGTGCAGCGCTTTTTTGTGCAGCGCTGTTTTGTTACAGCGCCCTTTTGTTACAGCGCTCTTTTGTGCAGCGCTCTTTTGTTATCGCGCCCTTTTGTTACAGCGCTCTTTTGTGCAGCGCTGTTTTGTGCTGCACTGTTTTGTTACAGCGCTCTTTTGTTACAGCGCTGTTTTGTTACAGCGCTCTTTTGTTACAGCGCTCTTTTGTTGCAGCGCTCTTTTGTGCAGCGCTCTTTTGTGCAGCGCTCTTTTGTGCAGCGCTCTTTGGTTACAGCGCGCTTTTGTTACAGCGCTCTTTTGTTACAGCGCTCTTTTGTTACAGCGCTCTTTTGTTACAGCGCTTTTTTGTTACAGCGCTCTTTTGTTACAGCGCTCTTTTGTGCAGCTCTTTTTTGTTACAACGCTCTTTTGTTACAGCGCTCTGTTGTTACAGCGCTCTTTTGTGCAGCGCTCTTTTATTACAACGCTCTTTTGTTACAGCGCTCTTTTGTTACAGCGCTCTTTTGTTGCAGCGCTCTTTTGTGCAGCGCTCTTTCGTTCCAGAGCCGTTAGAAAAAGGGACATATCTGGAGATTTTATTTATTGTCAACTGGTGAAAATAACGGTCAAAATTCAAACTCTATCGTGAATACGACTATAACGATGAATGATAAATCCTTGCTTCATTTCGTTTGCGATATCCAAGGCTTCTCTGATTCCGTTGTTGGTAAAGACAGTGGCGTTTAACTAGAACTCAGAAACATTTTAGTGAAGCTGATAATGCTGTTCCCTTCCTACTCCTTGACACAACAACTTGGAGTTTGAATCAGCTGAAGTAATGTCACGCAAGCGCTCCAGATTACTTTGAAGCTCTAGATTATAAAAAGGTACTTACCAAGTATTGTGTTGGTCACCAGAGAGAATTGGGGTGTAGCAGAATAACACTGACGCCAGTTTAGGGGTGGTAAGGTAGGTCAATGCAGTAGTTTGACATAGGAAATATGGAGTCGAAGATGCACCCCTACGGAGCTAAGACTTTTTTGGTGCTTTTTAGACTTGTTTCAAGTTGTTAACAACGTGTTCACCTATTATTAATTGATTCTGGTGTGTAATTTTGTACTTTGTAAATGATGCTACGTTCCTCTTTTAACGAGTTAGCGGACATACAGCTCGTTTATGGCGCCGCGAATAAAAATGGCCGAGAAGCTTGCCGTATTTATGAGCAAACTTTGTGTGTGCGTGGATTTTTTAATCCAATAAATTCGGGTCTTCAAAAAAAAACTATCCAAGATTGCTTTGGTTACGAAAACGTAGGTTGTTCCATTATTGGTCAGAATTTTGGCATGACATTTTGACATTGAAGTTCATTGACAAAATTGAAGAAAAATATTGTTAATACGTTTAAAAAACCATAGCAATCTTTGATTGCTTTTTTTTGAAGACCCGATATTAATTCAACATTTTTGATAATTATTCATAATGTGAATCAATTCCAAATTCATTGATCTGAGAGGTTTACTAAACGACGGAAGTGACCAAACGCTAAACAACAGGATTCAATAATTATGCATTCCGTTCCCTTTTCCCTTAGGATTAGGACCCTTGTTTAGTCATTTTTTGCAAGGATGTTTTTTTTTATTAAAATTTTAATTGATTGAACCGATACCTACCTGGTGCATTGAAACCTATGGTTGGAAAAAAGTGAAACTAATTTTTATTATATTTTCACTATACCAGATGCCATTTTTTTATTTGTTTATCGATATCAACGAAACTTGGTAGACTTGATATTCTAACGAAACGCCATTTTTGTGCTTCCACAAGTTTTCCTGAATTCCGGTTTCACCGGAAATTACCGAAACGTTTGATTTTAAAATGGCGCACCCTGTATATTTTTTGTTTTTCGGATTCTAAAGATCGTTTCACGTCCTAATGTACCACTTTTAAATCGAGTTTTGTCCAAATTTCGTTATCAAATTAAATTTTAAGTAGAAAAAAAATTACCTACATAGGTAATAAAACAAAAATGTTTGAACGAAAATTAGGAAAAATGTCGTAGTGTATTACATCCTTGGATTCGCTTAAAAATACTGCATTTAGTGATGTTATGAAAGTGACATGTTTCTATTCCAGTTTTTGAGCTAGGGCAAAAATACTAAAATAATGCAGTTTACAGCCCTCTATCAGAAAAGTTTCCAAAGATAATTGAGGTTGTATTTTTCTGAAATTAAGTAAAATATGTAGTCATTTTGGGATGATCATGGAATTCTAGTTAAAATATTAAAATTCTATTTAAAAACAAAATTTGGACAAAACTTGATTCAAAACTGGTGCATTAGGACGTAAAACGATCTGTAGAATCCGAAAAACAAAAAATATACAAGGTGTGCCATTTAAAATTCGAAAGTTCTGGTAATTTCCGGTGAAACCGGAAGTCAGGAAAACTTGTTGCATAAAAATGGTGGTTGGCTATCAACCCTACCAAGTTTCGTTGATATCGATGGATAAATAAAAAAATGGCAGCCGGAAAGTAATCTCGTGGGCACCTGATATTTTAGTAGTCTGATGAAACTACAATCTAACGAAACATGTTACTGCTCCATTGAAATAATTTTGTGAAAATATAGTAAAAGCTCGTTTTACTTTTTCCAAATCATGTATTTAATAAAATATAATCGCTACTGGATTAAATCTTCAAGTCAATAGGCATTTAATAATTAATTAATAATATAACAACTAATTTCAATTGCTAAACTATCAAGACTGATTTCCTTTAAAAATTGTAAAACCTGACTATCTTATTCTGTATTGAAGTCGATTACCTATATACAAAATTTTCTTGAACCTCTTTCGTCCTGAGGTAATAGTGTAGAGATTGGGACAGGTTATCGCAAATGACACGACAGAAAACTATGCTAATTTTGAATCCAAACTAAACTAATTAGAAGAACAAATTAATTTATTCACACTTAAATTAATAAATGATCTTCACAGAAGTAAATGTGGTGCTATTTTTGTTGTAAACTGGAAACCAGTATGGCCAATTCAAATTTGTCCTTCGAAAAAAAAAATATATATACATCATAGTGTCAATCCGTTAGCAATAGTTTTTTGGCGAAAAGACCACAAACATGAAGTTGATTCTGGTAAGTTTAACTTTTTTGTCTGTTGGAGTAACATCGTGTGGTTTGAAATGGCTCGTGATAATCGAAAAAAGTTTGGAGTTTTATTAAAAAGTTTGTTTTTGTTACAACGATTTCCATTTCAATTGGTCTACGTAACTTTTGATTAGTTTTTGTGTTATTTTTATGCGCCATTTATATTTCAAGTTAATTTAATTGCGAGAATTCTTAAAAATGGTATTATATAAGTGCTATAGAAGGTAGAGTGAATAAACGAAGTTTTTTCCTTCTGACGTGGCAAGCAAGGGAATAATAATAAGTTCCGCAGTGTTGAAAATCAGCACGAATCCCATAGGAATATGATTAACCGATTTCAGCAGCAGCAGTATAGGGGCATTTATTGTAGCTCGTAATGACGTAATAGTTTGTTTAGTGTGAAAACATTTTAAAATAATTTTTAAAATAAACTGAATGGACTAATGGAAAACATCGAGAACCGAGATTGATTTAATTTCTTTGCAATACAGGCATCATAATCGAGGACATAGAAAGATTTTGATTTTCTAGCGATTCATAGCTCCATTAACGCTATATTCAAAAACGTATATTGAGTCAATTTTGAGATTATGTTTATTTCTTCAAATTGCAATGTTGCCAATGAAAATATTTCTCAAGTTTTCAAATAATTTAAATAATAATAAATAATTGATTGTCCTTGTCTAGATTGCGTGGCAAAGAATGTTATCAATGTGATGCAAAAACAAAAAAGTTTAGATAAGTGCCATTCAGGCTAAAAAAAAAAAATCGGGTATAGTTGTGAACCATGAGTAAATTAATATCGTTCAAACGTGTTTGCAAGTTTTTTGATAAGTACTACATACCAAAAAATCGCAAGCACGATCATAAAAAGGTTGTAGCTATAAAGAGGTCGGACCTATTCCGACCAGTTTTCGAGAGCTTTTATTTTGTGTTTCCATGACTCAATAGCATTTTTGTCAGATGGCCATGATCACATTATTCGTATTATACAAGGACAATGCAACTCTAATTATAATAAATGTTCCCTGGGGCAATACCTCAGGTCTTGTTCGGATTAGTAGTTCCTGAAGAGCTGTTTTAGCGCCACCCCAATTTTATTTATATGACGTATAGCTTAGAAATGGTTTGATGGATTTCAACCGTTTTCTCTGAAAGCCTGTTTTCCATATTCTCGCAAGCATTATGGAAAAAGTCGAAAAAGACAGTTAAACCCCAATAATATTTTTGTGTTTCAGCAGTTAAATATTATTGTAAATTCCGTTTGCCATCAGTTATAAAACCATTTTGAAAGAGCAGTAGCCGCAACTTAATTATTGCTAAGGATAAATTATTGTATAAATTAGTCTTGATCACTGCTAAAAAAAATCTGATGAATTTGGACGAAGGTCCTACAAAAAGTCAGGATTGTTCCCTGTAAAAGGCTACAGGAATAAGCTCATCTTGTTAACTGGCGCCAAAACAAGAACATAAGCTTCAACTTCAACAGTACCATCCATCAGCTCTGTAAATTCAAAGTATCCTCTGGATGGATGGATGGATGGAATTTCTCATAATAGGTTGAATCCACTTTTCATATTCATTTTGATGAGAAATATACTGCTACTTATGAAAATAATATTTAACTTATCATACGTTATTGTTTAAAAAATGCAGTACCTATAGGAAAAATATACAACAAAACACGGCCGATTAATAACCACCTAATCTGATCATACACTTTGCCTGATAAACTTGAACACTTTTTCTTTTATAGTTCGTGACACTACTTGCCGTTGGTTTGGCACATGCCACAGAAAAGGCTCAACCCACCAAAGATGGCAAAGTAACAAATAAAAGAAGCATTTACTTTGGTTCCGTTAAGTCTTATATACCCACTGGAAGCAGCTTGGGATATTCTTCTGGATCGACAGGTACCTAGTTTATCATAATTTATCTCAATCACCTATTCTAGCTCAGTGTACCACTTATATAGTAGGACTATATAGATTGGATAATATTTCATAACTAAACTTGCTTTAAGTAAACTGTAGCTGATTATGCTCCAAGAAGTTTGACGCCGTTGAATTTATCGGCACATGACACTTTGTGGATCGTACCTTATTTCCCGGTAACCTCTGAAGTTACTGAGATAATACTTGTTCTAATTCTGTTACAGACGGAGATGTAGTTAACAAATATAGACCGTCAGATAGTGACATATTTAGGTGCCCTATTTTCGCATACAAGCCTCGAAGAGGGTTGAAAAGTACATCGATTTTGAGTAGGATGAAGGTATTTTCACGGGTGGCTCCTGAGGATAACATATGGAAAATTGGATTTTCCATAACAGAAATGAAAGACGTCCTGGTGCTTATATTTTCTCGCAAGCCGTGATCACCAAAGGATTAAATAATAAATCCTGGCTTCATGAAAACAAAGAAGGGGGCCTTGCAGGTGGCTAAAGGTTTGAAATAAGGGTCTAATGTTGTAAGGAAAAATCGAGATTTTGGGCGATTTTTTCACACAAGCCCATCGGAAGGATGAAAATCTACAAAGTTGGTGGCAAGAAAACATATTGGCTTGAGTGTCGCGAATGGGAAAGTACATTTTAGGGTAACATAAGTAAAATCGAATTTTCCATATGTTATCCCCAGGAGCCACTCGTGAAAATACCTTCATCCTACTCAAAATCGATGTACTTTTCAACCCTTTTCGAACCTTGTATGCGAAAATGGGGCCCCTAAATATTTTACTATCTGACGGTCTAATAGGAGCAATACTGAAATTGGCCACACTCTCAGGACTTCTTGATAAATGCTTTCTCTTGTCAAAAACCAAAAAGAACTATCACTTTGTTTTGTTATAGTTTCTTAACCAACTTGAGGGATTCATCCAATGAACAGTTAAGAAATCTTTCCACAGATAAATTACATAAAGATTCCATGCGTCTTATTAAACTTGTTCAGTATTCTGTTTTTCTCTGACAGTAGCAGATTGTGGAGACGTTTCGTTCTTCTACAGCCAGATTTGTGGGAATCTCCAAAAAAAATGGTGCTCACTTCTTGGCGCGTCAGCCGTGCTTCTTCAAGGTATTTTAGCCTTTCGCAAAACTAAGCCGGACGTTCATTTGCTTGATTTCAACAACAAGCCATCCCATGCTTTTCCTATTTTTTTCGAGTTATATTTTACTGGACAATGCTGATGACTGTTCTAATCTCTCTTCTGTTCATATGGAGACGTTGTTCGGATCGGATTGCCAAGATAGATATAAACCATTTGGCTGTCTTAGACCCTGAGTGGATCTCCAATAACTTAACTGTTAGTTCTTCTCCCATCTCTTCAATGTCTCAATGAGATGGCTCTTCAATAGCCCTGAGCCTTCTTGAAAAAGTGTAGTCCCTTATTTTGCGTAAAAATCTGCTCCCTTGCTTGTTGAGATACATTTCCAGGTATTCACATGAGGATTACTTCATCACTCGCAATCAGTTGCTTGAGAATTTTTTTGCGTTCTCAAACCAGTTGGGATGTGCACTTGCTATCTTCTAGAAATAGAGCCATTTAACTAACACAATATGAAGGCCTCTTTCAAGGTTATTTATCCATTCATTCCCAAGATGACTCCCTCCAATAGCTTTTAACCATCTGTGACCATAGCGACGTCCTGTCCGCTTGAGGACCGGTTTGTCTGTCGGTTAACCGACAGCTGAACTGAGTAACCATCCACTTATAAATCGGTTCTAAGCTAGATTTATGTTCTTCCATGACTGGCCATCCTTTGTAGATTGTGGGTGAAATCGTTTCGGCTTTCCACCAGCTGACTTTACATCTTAAATTGTCTCCAGAAAGCGTAGACTTCTGCCGAAGAAAGCTTTTTTTCTGGGTGTCAGTTGGTCCACGTCTCCTGGTGACAGTGTTGCCCCCTCGAGGAATTTGAGCCTCTTGCAAAATTGGGTTCAGCAGGTGCTCTGCGGTCTCTATTGCGCCTGAGCAGGATCTGCAGAGATCGTCTTCTGCTCTGCCCATTAACCTTAAGTGCTATTTCACCTGGGAGCAGTCCTACGACCATTCCGATTTCTGGTCTGCTCATGTTTAGGAGCTCTTCAACTCTTTTTGCTGAAAGGGTGATAACCTTTTTGAGTGTCTAAGTACCGAAGTGTGCCTCCAATTGATGACAGATGGTCTTTCTCCCATTTGTTGAATTCTTCCATGATGTGGCTCTTCATTAAGCCACAATAGGGCTCTGGTCCATGGTATGGTGTTGAGGCCCCTTTTTTTGCGAGGCCATCTGCTTCTTCGTTTCGTTTTATGCCTCGATGTCCAAGCAGCCACATCAGCGTTACCTGGTTGTGTGTCGCTAGTGTTTTTAAGGTCTGCTTACACTCTCAGACTAACTAGTTTCAAGATGCATTTGGAAGCCCTTCAGGCTTCTAAGGCAACTTGGCTATCAATTTGGTTGAGACACACTTGTGAACATATGTTTACGACAAGCAGTTTGGCTTGAGATATTGTAAGATGTTTACCCAATGTATAAGAGAGCTTGAAGTTAGGGCCGGAAATGCCCAGTCCAGCTCCTTCCGTTAGTTTGGATCCATCTGTATACCGCAGAGATGCATTGTCTGCTTGTGGTAATTTTTCATTCTACTATGATTGGCGCTCGTTTATTACCACTGCGAATGGGATCTCTAAGTCTGCTGGCATTCTCCAGCGCAGATGTCCCCTCAGATCACCAGGCTTGAACTTGTCTGTTTAGAATAGCCTGTGAGCGCTGATTATTGCCTCCTTTTTCACACATAGGTGAAGTTGAAGCATGTTAAGCAGCGTCTCTAGGGCTGCTGTGAGACATGTCGACATTGCTCCCGTTATTCCTAGGCATATCAGCCTTTGTACCTTGTTTAGCTTGATCTGAGCAGTGACTTGCTGAGTTTTGGGCCACTATACCAATGAGGCGTATGTGACCATGGGCTTTATTATAGTTTGGTAAATCCAGGATACCATCTTTGGCTTTAGCCGCCATGTTTTACGAATCAGTTTGCGGCATGACCAGATGGCTGATATTATAGCTCTAGAGCATGTTTTCTCTAACCTTTGTTCCAAGTGAGTGTTTGGTCCAGTCCAGGGTGACCCCCAAGTATTTCACATCGTTGGAAAATGTTAGTGTTGTATCGTTAAGGGAGGGGGCTTTCAAATTTAGCTTCCTTCTTCTTGTGAACCGGACAAGAATTGTTGTGCTTGAGTTTAGGGATAATCCCTCGCCTCCGCTCGAATTTTCAACGATGTTTAGAGCACTTTGCTTATCATTACGCCTTCATATTTGCCCTTGATTATAATGGCCCGGTCATCTGCATAGCCTATGACCTGGTAAAAAACACCCCCTATGTCAATGAATGCTGTGAAAGCGATCTCTTTGCACTCGATTATTCTTTCAATGTTTTTAACCAGGCAGTGTAAGGCACTTGTTGTGGATTTGCCTGGCTGATAGGCAAATTGCTAGAGCGGTCTTCTCAATAGAGTTTCGCTCCTGATGTACTGGTCAATTGCTTTCTCCATTGTTCTGAGGAGAAAGGAGGCTAGGCTAATGGGACGGTATGATTTTGCTTCGTCCTCAGGTCGACGACCAGTTTTTTGTATGAATATAACATTAGCTTTCCTCCAAGATAGTGGTATCTATATGTCCTAGGACCAAGCTTGCTTTGAAAAGTTATTGTAAGTGTACCTTTAAGTACTCGTAGCCTTTTTGCAGTTGTGCGGGAAATATTGTCACAACTGTCCGCTTTACGGGGGTGACATTGAGGGTTTGTAGCTTTGGGGGTTGATGGAGAGAAACTCGCTCAGGTTATATAAAAATATAGATATATATTTTCCCAAATATGCCCTTACATGTACGCTAATCCTATAAGATGCATGACCCTTCGAACACTGGGGTCCTTATAGGGAGCCACACGTCAGCGCTGCTTGGGAGACTGTAGATTAGTTTAGCGTCACCCTTATGCCTTGTCCAGAGGGGCGTTCCCAGCGAGAGGTAACTGCACTGGACAACGATAAGGCTGAAGATACCCAGAGGGGCTTTCCGAACGAGAGGTACTTGCACTGGGGAGACTTAATTCCAGAGGGGCTTTTCCAACGAGAGGTACTTGCACTGGTTTAAGTCTGCCTTTGCTGCGGCTTACAGCGCAACTTATATCCGTTTATTGCTGAATTGCAATAAACATCCAACCGAATCGGCAATTAAATTAATAAGGTTGAATACCGGGTCCTCCTTTCCTAAGCAGCTAGTTGACAATATCCCGTCTTTGCCTGGAGATTTGTCGGGTTTGAAGCTATCAGTCGCCCATTTTATTCTGTTCATTGTGAAGATTTCCCCTGCCAGCCTTTTGCTTTTCCAGACAGGGCTTTGAAACCCTTCGATAGGCGGAGTGACCTAGTTCAAGGCTTCTACGATTACCGACCCTGGAAAGGGGGTTTGTAGTATCTCTAGACTTTCTATATGGTCGATACAGTATTCTCCGTTTGGCTTTTTTAGCAGACCAATTCCGTTTGAGTGGTTTTTTGAAAGGAATTTTCGAAGTCGTACAGCTGGGGCTAATTCGTCTATCTCCTCTCAGAATTGTCTCCATGATTTCTTTTTCGATTTTCTCAATTCACGGGTGTATTTGTCTAGGGCTGTTCTGTAATCTGCCCAGTTACCGTTAGTTTTTGGCTTGTTGAACAGTTTTCCGGCATCTTGTTTCAGACGTCTCAGCTGCCGTTTCACCAAGGCACATCTCTGTGGACTTCCTTCTGTTTTACGGGACAACTGTACTCATAGGAATCTTTTATTGCGTTTGTTAGATTGTTGGATCATGCATCTAGCTCTTCTATTGTGTTTATGTCAGAAGGGAGTTCATCTAGACTCAGGCAGAGATGACCTTCCACATGGGATACCCAGTTGGTGAGTTTCAGAATTCTCGCCTGTAGTGGTTTATTGCTGCTTCTAGGTCGAACCTTATTGCTTGATGGTCCGGCAGGGAGGGTACATTTGACACAAACCATTTGGTTATTATGTTGGACGTCAATGTGTCAGCTAGAGTCACGAGTCACGTCGGACCTCTTGTGTGACGGCATTGATGAAAGTGGATTTGTTACCCTTGTTGATAATGTCTATGTTGTTAGAGCTCAAATATTCGAAGAGGTACTCACCCTTTAAGTTTGTATCGATCGGTTCTTCCTCATCCTACTTCGTGATGGGCGTTGGCGCCTGCCCCGATAATGTAATTTCTCACTTTGCACCACGTGATGAGTTGCTGAACGAACTCTGGCGGTGCCCATCCTTTACTACCACATCAAATAAAATGGCTAAGTCCTTTACTTCGAACAGAGGTAACATCTTTGCATGTTATAGTGGCAACGGTAAGAACTTAGTTGCTGCCTACAAGTTTTTCGATTTTGCTAGGCAAGGTTCGAAGTCCCCTCCTCTGCCCGATTTCCCAAGCGTCGCCTCTCTTCGATTTAGATAGGAAGGAATTTTACAGGATCACCTCTCAAGTCGTGTAAAGATATATAAGACTAGTCTCTGTCTCGAAGTGACACTGAAACTGGCCGAGACCGAGAGCTGAAAATCTCGTCGAGACCGAGGGTCTCGTTAAAATCTCGGTATAATATTATATATCGAACCCACTTTCCACAATTAAATTTATTAGATTTTTCTAGGTAGTTAACACGATATGCTGGTGCGTTGCTCCTTAAAGGTAGTGAGTATTCTGAGCGTGTTTTTGAATAAGCGAGGCAAAAGAAAAACTCCTTATTCTTATTTTACTAACTGACTATAATATATTTCAAACACCTCATTCACTAGTAAACATTAATTTTAACTTGTCCGTTCGACGGACCCTCGACTAGTGCCGGAATACGACACTCACCTGTCTTGAGCGTAAGTACAAAGTCATAAATAACGCAAAGTGTCACAAGAAACAATAATTCATGTTATGCTGGAACTATGGTAGGTGTCCGTAGGATTTATTGTCACTGAATGCACCATTGCTTTTCGTTAAATGAGAGAATTATTACAATAAACTTTGAAGTGCAGTTGATCAACGTTTATTATTCGTTGGTTAAAAATAAATTCTGCATAATTTTTTAGGATAAAGTAAAAAGTCCAGTAAGAAATCGCTTCATTCAGAACAAAACAAATCCTCACTTGAAACAATTCACTATTATTATGACAATTTTTCTCAAATATTATGTTAAATAACTCCGATGAATACCTATCTTCCCAAAACTTGTAAAATAAATGATAACCAAGTTTGGCATAGTAAATAAATCCCAGGGATTCAATATCTAGAAAAAATTGTTATTTCCAACTTGAGATTTCTCGTGGATCATGCTAATTTTGGTGAGCATATATTATGTCAGTAAATTGAGTGAGAGCAGATTGTGTACTTGGGATTGGAGAGGAACTATATTCCACCAGTAAATTATCAGTCTCTTATGACACATCCTATTGGATACTGCTTTGGAAGCAATTTTGGCTAACCGGGTCCATCTAGTATGTGAAGTTTCGAGAATAATGTCCTGCACTAACCCCAAAACAAAGAGCGTGTTACACTTAATTTTGGACGCTGTTCTTCTATCTATAAAAATTAAAATTAATTCATTCCAGGTTACTCTGGCTTCAACAGTGGCCTAAGCGGGTCCTCCAACGACTTAACCGGTTACGGTGGTTATAATGCTGGTAACACTCACGTGCACTCTGACTTCGGTAGCCTTGGCGGTTACAGTACTGGTAACACGCACTCGCACACCCATACTCATGAAGTGCAAACAATTACTCAACATGTAGCAGTACCAGTTCCTAAACCATATCCAGTGACTGTTGTTCAAAAAGTTGCAGTACCACAACCCTATCCTGTACATGTTTCTCATCCAGTACCTGTACCTGTTCAAGTTAGAGTACCTGTAAGTAACTTTTTGTTTCCATTGTAATAGCTGTTCAATTTCTGTATTTTTCAAGGTGGAAGTACCAAAGCCATATCCAGTGCACGTAAACGTTCCAGTGCCATATGCTGTTAAAGTGCCAGTTGAGGTTGCCAAGCCTTACCCTGTTATAGTAGAAAAACCAGTTTATGTACAAACCTATGTTGTTAGTTCTGGAAGCGGTTATGGATCTGCTGGAAATAGTTATGGTAGTGGGTCCAGTGATGGTGGAAGCAATTATGGTAGTGGATCATATGGACGATCTAGTCATGGTGGAAATAATTATGGCAGTGGGTCATATGGAGCATCTGGTCATGGTGGAAATAATTATGGCAGTGGGTCATATGGAGCATCTGGCTATGGTGGAAATAATTATGGCAGTGGGTCATATGGAGCATCTGGTCATGGTGGAAGTGGTTATGGTACTCGGTCATATGGTGGATCTAGCTATGGTGGAGGTAGCAATTCGTACAGTTCAGGTTCCTCAGGCAGTTCCTTTGGTAGCAGCGGTAGTTTGTATCGATCTGGAAGTCATGGATATGGTTCCAATGCACGTGATTGTTAATAATCCGTCAAGTTTAAATATAAATTTGTGCAAGGAATAATAATTGTAAATTGGCGAATAAAAATAAATTGAGAAAACTTAAAAATATAGTTTTAATTAAAGTGAGAATCCTCGGAAAATAATCCCCCAGGTTACAATAACTGGATTTTGCTAATCTTACCTTTGATAAAAATTTGATTTTGATATCAAAATAATGAAGAATTTTGATTGAGAAAACGATTAGGTACTTACCTAATCGGCATTTCTGAGGTTATGAAGATTTTAGTTTTCTGGTTCATATTTTTTGTGAAATAGGGAGATGCGAGCTTAACAATTTTGAAAAATCTCATCTCTCAGATATGATATAAGTGATTGAATATTAAAGGTATGCGGGTTTCTTGTCAAATTTAACAAATCACCTATAAAAATGAGAAACAGTGTGTTGGGGACAGAATTGAGCCTAGTGGAACGCCAGCAATTATAGGCAGTGTATCAGAAGACACACAATCGACAACATACAATGACTTGCCTTCCAAAAATCTCTCCAGCTAATGGCAAAATTCGTTCGGAAGACTATACGAGGTCCAATGCTACAGTTCATGAGTCGAGTGTCAAATATGACTGACGTACGCCAGCAGATCCCCTGTTGATCTTCTAGAATGAAACCCGTACGTTTGTCAGAGATGAGCTTATTGGCTTCGAGGTAGCTGAATGCCACCGTGTTGTTGATCCACGCTTCGGTAAGTGTACGGTGGCAATGTTGTACTAGTTCTGACCTGGGTCGCGATCTAAATAGCGCTAGTACTGCTTGTCTGCAGTCCGTGTGGATGTGCACGATCTTGTCAGTGATATTGTTGCTGACTATTTGTTCGGCCACGATGGTTATGCCAGTAATTTCCGTTTGGAGGACATTAGGCATGGAGTCAAGGGCTATAGCTAGGTTCAGTTTGAGAGCTTTGGAGTATCCCGAGCCTGTTTGAGCTTTGAAATCATCAGTGTAGATGTTACTTACCCCTGCCACTGTGTTGTTTCCAATGCACCAAACGTGGTGTTGCAGAGTCCTCTCTGGCCCCCAACAATGGAAGCGGGTCCGTTGCCTCACGCCATATGCGGGCTCTCTACACACCGACTTCTGCACTTGGTTTTATTCCAACAGTGCGCAAGCGCATCATTGTGTTTAAAACGACCTCCTTGACATAAGTATCCAGGGGCGTCAAAAATTACTTCCAAAGCCCTAGTTGATGTGGTTTTCATTGCACCAGTTATGTTGAGGCGTGTCATTCTTTGAATGTGGTCTAGTTTTCGGCTTATAGTAGTCTGTTCGGCCTTTTGTCCCCAGACAATAGCCCCATGTAAGCATAGGCCTGATGATGGTTTTATAGATCCACATAATTACCTTGGAGGAGAACCCTCAGACCTTACCGATAGTACATCTACACTGTTCATAGGCGATATATGCTTTCTGTATTCTCTTAGCAATATAAGAGTACCATGTTAGTTTGCAATCGAGTGTCACTCCCAGATATTTGACCTAGGCGGCAAAACTTAGGTCGGTGTTTAAGAGTCTGGATGTTGTCGTTCCTCTTTCTTGTGAAAAGGACCATTTCAGTCTTTTTGGGGTTGATGGACAGAGTGTATTCCGTGCACATATCACCCATATACAAATGCGAAAAAGCGGTGAATTTGTGGTTCAAGGTTTGTGTATGTACAACAGGCTGGAACACGCTCACGCACTATACATGTCCTGACGCGGATGATCTGTGCCTTTGCGTCAGGCGGCTGGCCTCCTTGCGGAGCCGTGGTTTCGTAGCTTTGAATCGACGACGGCAAGGATACTACGCATCTGTATTTAGGTGATCTGTGTCTGGGTAAGCTATTGTGTAGTCTGCAGTGTGGCGTTAATTTCCAAAGAAGGCAAGCAAATTCATATATGGAACTCTTGTCTGGTTATAGCTATGTGAAAGTGGTACCCGGCAGCTTTGAAACAGTGGAGAAGGCGTGGTTCGAAGCTGTCTAAAATTTATAAGGCGCCACGTAATTAAACCACTAGTCACCTAATTTAGATCGTAAACCTTGACCAGAAACCCACACTAATCACGAATTGTTGGTTCCTGAACCAAACCCAAGAGAGTCAATGACTGGCTTATCCTTGCATACACCATCTGAAATTACTGACAGCTTGGCGGAGGGGAAGGTGCAAATAAACAGGCAGAATATCGGTATCAAAATTTAGGAATGTGTATTAATTAATGTAATAATTATTGTATTATTAACACAGTTGAATTATCACAGTTGATTCTAGAACCTCTATAATTTCACCACCAGTGTCATCAGGCTACTGGTTGTCATCCACAATTCAGTATAATGAATTAATACAAAAAAAATAAATAAATATGAAATGTTTCGAGCTATGTACTTACTCTTGAGAACAAGGCCAGCGAACATTTACTAGCATGAACAGTATGGATGTATTTGTAATAAATCAAAATAATTGAACAGCCTGCTCCATGTTCTCAATAGCAATCAGATTAAATTCATCCTAAAATTACCAATATTACCACACACTTGTGATTCGAATAAAATATTAAACCATACGCGCAGATCGATCTTATGACGTCATAATACCTCGCACCATACGGTGTACAATAAGCTGGCAAAGCCAGTGAACTAAATGCCCAAATATAATATTGGTGAGTGACCGCACAATAATAATATTCAATTAAAAGGGTGGTGGTGAAGTAGGTAAAATAATTTAAAAATATTCAATTGAACGTAGGATGGCGTAGGCAAAATTATTATAAAAAAAATATTCAAATAAAAGTATGATGATGTAGATAAAATATTAAGAAAATATTCCATTAATAAAACATTATGAAAATATTCAATTAAAAAAAAATAGGATGACGTGGGTAAAATTATTATAAAAAAATATTCAAATAAAAGTATGATGATGTAGATAAAATATTAAGAAAATATTCCATTAATAAAACATTATGAAAATATTCAATAAAAAAAATAGGATGACGTAGGCAAAATTATTAAAAAAAAATATTCAAATAAAAGTATGATGAGGTAGATAAAATATTAAGAAAATGTTCCAATAAAACTTAGCTGAGCTCCAGTAGCTGACAACAAGCTCTACGTGGTGGTTGGTGATGAAAAGCTGGTTGGTATTAGCAAGTGGTGAGCCCTTTGCTGGAGAGGTGGAGTGCCTTGATGCCAAAGGTTAGGCCCCAACCCCCAAAAGAGTGGTGCAATTTGATTCAGACCCGTACAAAAAACCCTAAATAGAGACAGGAATCAGTCCCCACATTCTTGATACCAATTTTTCCCCAATAAAACCCCTAAAAAAATAAAAATAATTACCTCTGGCGAGGGTTTTCCTATAGAAAGGCCTGGACTGCCCTCTGTAGCCTGCAACGAGCCGGTGATGGACGGATTCGGCCGCAAACATGCACGACAGGAACTGAGGTCAAACCTCTAGGACAACCAATCAACCAATCCTTAATATAAAAAAAAATGCATGAGCTCCAACAGCTCTTTTCCCAATAGGAAAAAAAAGAAAAATTCAAACAAATAATATCAAGCTCACCAGTGATTAATTCCCAGGACTTGTAGATGAGCCAGTTCAGCAGCAGTTAGGGGTGCTACCAAGGTGTTGGGTGGAGCACAACGTGGTCGGTGGTGGTGAAGTAGTCGTTTTATCCCCAAAACGGGTGCGAAATTCCTCCAACTAATCTTCCAAAAATCGATGAGAAACTTTTTCGCCAGCCAGGGCGGATCCTTTAATCCTCAATGGGAAACCAAGTTCCTAGGTTCCAGACAAAGCCTTCTGAAATTGGATGTGCCCTTAGACGTACTTGCACTCACCACAATGCTGCTGAACTTAAACTGAACTGCCCTTACCAAGACTGGCCAGCAGGTAACATGGCGACCGGAAATCCCCTCCGAAAATTTGTGTCAAATCACGTCCAGAAAATTCTAGAAAAATTACCACGAGGAACTCATTTCCGGCAGAACGGCAACAATGCCACTCGATCACAATTAGACGCTCCGAGTGCTCGCAACCAAAATTTCACAAGAAAAGTGCACGAATGAAACCGCTACACAACTCAGAACAGCTGAACAAATGACGACCGGCACCGCTGTACCGAGATCGCTCTGACGCGGTTGAATGCGCTCCTGACCTGGTTCTGGTTACTGTACTGTTGCTCCAAACGATCGCACCCACGGGTCAATAAAACAGCTGATGTGCAGAGGTGAATGACATTTAGAGAAAACCAATAACAATAATATTGCAAGGATTAAAAGAATTATTGGACTATTTGTTAATTTATTTATTTTAGGGGAAGAAAAACCGAAGCCGGAATGATTCTGATGTTTTATTCCCTCGAGGTGACGTATCCTAGTGTTCTAAGTGTTTAAATTCCATACGGCCTTCCATATAATGTCCTGCATCTAAATATTCCCGTTACAATTCCCCCCCTTGCCACAAGACGATTCACCCGCCAGGGTTAATCGAGATCAGCCGAAGGTTTCAGGTCCTTCGAGTGCCAAGTACCTGTCAGAACTTTGCCATTCATATCCTGAAGCTCATATGTCCATGGCGACACCTTGCTTCTTATTACATAGGGTCCAACATATTTTGGAGCCAATTTGTGTGTGAAGTACTGAGCGGCGTTGGACAATACGAAGTTCTTCTTCCAAACCCTCTTTCCAGGCAAATATGTGTCATCTCGTTTCCTCAAATTGTATCTCGCAACATTCTTTCGACCGGCGATCTCAAGCCTCTTCTTGATATCAGCGAATAGTTTGCGAAACCCATCATTCCTGCTAACCTCCGCGGTCTGCTGCCCATCTTCTGTCCCAATAAGATCCTTATTCGTGTAGTCTTTTCCTGTAAGACACATATTCCTTCCAAAATTGGCGAAATATGGCGAAACAGTCGTGGTCTCCTGCACAGCTGTACGAATCGCACAGGCCAATTTTTGAATCTGCTCATCCCATTTGCGATGATTGTC